AAATTTTATATGTATGGACTCGTGGCGAGACGAGTAATCCGGTGATGTAAATTTCGTAATTTTTCGAGAAGCGGTCCCGGGGCTCAGGTTTTGCTAGTTTCGAGATTCTTGCTAATTTTCGATTGTTTTCGATTGGGTATTGTTCCCTTAGCATATTGTGATGTATTCGCTCTTGTTTTGGTTAGATTCGACGCGCATGGAGGCCGATTGAGGGGCAAAGGCGTCGCGAGCTAGGGATTTCACCGGTCCGAGGTGAGTAATACTTGTAAATGATATCCTGAGGGTTTGAAACCCCGGATTTGCACATCATAGTATTGTATTGTGGTGACTTGCACGCCAGGTATGAGCGTGGGGTAGAGCACCATTGGAGATTGTGACTTAGTCCGTCCCGGTTGTTGGTTTTATTACGTAATTGACTGAAACTACTTGTTATCATCATTATTTGGTTTGATTGCTATATTTGGGCTTCGTGCCAATTGTTTGAATCCTTCAGGGATTGATATCACTGTTTTTGCATTACTTTGCATATTATTTTATCACAGTCCAAGGTTTAAAATACTGTTTCGCAAACTCAGCTATCTTTCTAAGATTTGAAAACCTAAATGATATTTTACTGACGTTTTGAGTTGAGACTGTTATTTTACTATTGCCCAAGGGGCTTATGTGCATTTCTGGACTGAGGATGGATCGGGCTGCGCGCCACAGCGGCATGATATTGATATTGCACTTGGGCTGTAGGAGCCCCTCCGGAGTCTGAACCCCCACAGTGAGCGCGGGTACCCAAATGGATCGGGTTGCGCGCCGCAACGGTCATATGCATTGCATTGCATTCATACATTGGTTCCTATTTGTACTACGTGTCATGACATTTAGCACTCTCATATCATTGGCATCCATGCTATTGCTTGTACTGTTTACCAGACGCCCTGGTGTTAACTGTTTGTGGAGTGTTGTGCCCGAGGGGCTGTCTTATGTGCGGACTTGCACTATCTGATTACGCGTTCATTAAATTTTTTTGATTGTGGCATTGCTTAACTGCTTTGACTAGAGAGTCGGGATAGATCTGATCCTGAGTGAGTTATATNGAGCCAGATAGTTTTCTAAAGCATTTTCACGATTTTACTGTTTTCTCAAAGAGTGGTATTGTCCTATATAGCATGATGGATTGCTCTTACGTAATTTCTTGCCTCTCAGTTATTATTTACTCTTATTACTCACTGAGTTGGAAGTACTCACTTTACTCCCTGCACCTCGCGTGCAGTTGCAGGTATTGTTCACCCGGTAACGGGTTATTAGCTGATTGAAGGTATGGCTATTGTAGCTGAGTAAGGTGACCGCCAGCGTTCGCGGCACCGGATGTTGTCTTTTGATTTCCAGGATTTTTCCTTATATATTATTATTGGCCCTGTAGTTGTGTTCGGGTTTCTTTAGATGCTCGTGACTTGTGACACCCCGGTCGGGTTGTGTTGGGTTGTACATACTGGTTATTATTGTCGTTAAGCTATATTTATCTATACATTTATGTTTAATAATTGTTAAAGAAACGGATTGGGTTAGTTGGCTGGCCTTGTCTTCACGAGAGGCGCCATCACGTCCGGGTATGGAAATTGGGTCGTGACACTATCCAACGGGCAAAAATTGCTCGTAATTGCTCACTTTATCTTTGCTCGAAAATTCTTCATGTTTTCGAGCAAAGGAGGGCAGCTGTGAGCACGTAATTTTTGCCCTACAGAAAACATTCCTACAAAATCCACAAAAAATAGTTTTTCCTAATTGTTTTTGAATTTATAGAATTTTAGGGTTTTTCTTTTAAAATGTTTTTTTGCATTTAGCTGCATTTTTATGCATATTTAATATCTTAAAGTCATAGAAAAATCATAAAAATTGTCACATTTTTATTTCATGCCATCTTAGGTTTAATTTATATTATAGGAATTAGTCACTCTTTAATTGTTAGAATTAATACGTAAAAATCAAACAAAATATCTTTCCAAATTTTACATGTATTTGTTAATAGATAAATAGAATTAGTTTTGCTAATTAGATTTAAGTTAGGTTTTTAATTTAGGATTTAATTAGGTCACAATTAAATTTAAGAATATACTATCCTACTTTTCTCTCTTACTGTTCATCAGATTGTTCTTTATATTTATTGTTCTTACTTTATTGCTCTTAGCCCGTCTCGAGGTCACTAAGCTCGAGGTCACCACTGCAGAGTAACATTGGTTTGATTCACTTATTTCTTTCATTTCTACTTTATATTTCTTGAATACTAATTGGTATTAAATTTAATCACATATCTTTAAAACCACAAATCAAATTAATTGTTACTCGTATTTTCGAGGTAAACAATCATACTATGTAATGAATGGATCTCCATTCCTTTTGTTCATGGAGGTCAGGCATAGCCCCCTCTTTGTAATCATGATGCTTACCCCACTGTGGGTTAAAAAAAAATTCTAACCAAGGCAAGCTAACATCATTTGATTGAAATAATGGGATAAAAGATTTGCATGAAAATGCTGAACTCAATCATCAGTATCTCTTTGAGCATAAATAACAAAGTGTAAACTCTCTTAGCTAGTAATCACATAAGAAATTTAGCTCACATCATGAGAACATCATATCCGAAACAAAAACTAGTAGAATATGTAGCTTGTAGTTAAGAGTGAAGGTATCTGGTTCATTCCACCTTATTCCTTGGTGATTACAGTTTAACGAATGTGTATATGCAGACTAATTAATAAGGACTATTTAACCCTCAAGGTCTTGGGCACAGCTAAAAAGCAGTTTTCTTCGTAACCTTTTCAGAATGTTAAATAAATAGGTAAAGGTTTGTTTAATTCTTACCTTTTAAGGTCATTCCCGTAAAAGTGATCTAAAGTAGAGAAATTTTAAAAAATATATTGTGGTCTAACAATTTTATTGTAACCTCGAAACTAGATTCCTAAATGGTTATTCGTAATTGAGTTTTATTCTAATTAATTAATATTAAAATTATCTTACGTGAGAAGCTGCACAAAATCAAGGTAGATATGATGAATTGGTATACTGGAAAGAGGTATTCTCTAATTTTGAATACCTCTTTCACAATTATTGGAAACAGCCAATAGTTGCAGCAGAGTTGATTAGGGAGTGAGTGACACAGTCTAGAGGGCCAAAAAAAAGTTGAGAATTGTCTGTCTTTCATAAAATATTTTTTTAATTAGTTATCTATTTTTTGAGGCTTTATATCTGAAACTGACAAAATCTCAGTAGAGATCTACACTAAATCGACATTGCATGTGATTAAGAAGAAGAAGAAGATGAGTTGAAGGAGAGAATCAGCTAAGAAGAGGAAGAAGTCTGTTATTTTCACTGTAGAGGTCGGTGCAGTGTACCTGCCTTTAATACAAGACCTCTCACACAAGTCACGTGTGTGATGAGGGTAAAAAGACTAAAATACCCCAACTATTTAACTAGTATCACTACTGATTATTCAACACTCCCCCTCAAGCTGGAGGTTGGAAGACATCCAACACTCCAAGCTTGGAAACTAAGGAATGATGTTGAGCTGCAGACAATCCTTTTGTGAGCAAATCTGCAAGTTGCATTGTTGAACTAACATGGTGTGGTGTGAGGAGCCCAGACTTGATTTTCTATCTTACAAAGTGACAATCTGTTTTTGATTGTGTTTGGTTCGTTCATGAAAAATTGGATTTTCTGCAATATGAATGGCTGCCTTGTTGTCACAAAACAACTGGACTGGTTTAGAAATTGGCATCTTCAATTCTTCTAGGTGTCCTGATAACCAGGCAACATCTGCTGTCACTGCTGCCATGCTTCTATATTCTACTTCTGCTGAACTTCTACTAACCGTTTGCTGCTTTTTTGATTTCCACGAGATTAAGGAGCTCCCTAACTTTACAATATAACATGTCACTGATCTCCTAGTATTGGGACAGGCTGCCCAATCTGCATCACAGTAGGCAGTCAATGTGTCAACTGGCTTTGCCTGCAGAAGAACTCCCAAACCTGGTGCACCTTTTATGTATTTAACTACCCTCAAAGTTGCATCCATGTGAGATTGTTTTGGACTTTGCATGAACTGACTCAATGTTTGTAATGTAAAGTTGATGTCAGGTCATGTGATTGTCTAATACAAGAGCTTCCCAATCAACCTCTGGTATGCAGTAATGTCCTTTAAGTCTGGATCTCCTAATCTTCCCACATGAGCATCAAATTCTACTGTGGTGAGTTTTTGATTCATCTCTAGAGGTGTTGAAACAGGCTTAGAACCACTCATACCAACACTTGAGATCAACTCAAGTGCATATTTTCTTTGATTCAGCAGAATTCCCTTTTTTGATCTGAGCACCTCAATACCAAGGAAGTATCTTCGCTCACCCAAATCTTTCACCTTGAATTGACTCTGCAATGTCCTTTTAGCATCATTAACTAACTTGGAACTGCTTCCAGTGATCAGCAGGTCATCTATATAAACAAGTATAATGACCAAATCTGAACCCTACCTTTTACTGAACAATGAATGGTCATAATTGCTCTGCAGATAGACATGTGTAACTAATGCCTCTGTTAACTTAATGTTCCATTGTCTTGATGCATGTTTCAGCCCATAGAGTGACTTCAACAATCTGCACACTTTCTTCTCCCCTTGTTTGTGAAACCCTTGTGGTAGTCCCATGTATACTTCTTCATATAAGTCCCCTTGTAGAAAGGCATTATTCACATCCACTTGATACAAATCCCATCCTTTGGATGCAGCAATACTAATGATGGTTCTAATAGTTACCATCTTTGCTACTGGGGAGAATTGTCTCATGGTAGTCCAATCCCTCTTTCTGATTGTAGCCTTTTGCTACTAACCTGGACTTGAACCTTTCTACCTCTCCATTTTCTTTATGCTTTATCATATAAACCCACTTTGACCCAATAGCCTGCTTTCCTGGTGGTAGGTTTACCAGCTCCCATGTGTTATTCTCTTCTAGTGCAGCTATCTCCTATTGCATTGCCTTAATCCGCTTGTTATCCTGTGCAGCTTCCTTGAAGGAACTAGGCTCAATGTGTGCTGAGAAAGCCTTTAAGTATGACTGATATCCTGTAGTAAGGTTAGCATATGAGAGTCCTTGAGAAATAGGGTATAAGCTGTTTCCTGTGAATTTCTCTGGTGCCACATAGTCCTTCATCCATATAGGTGGCCTAGAAACTCTTACTGATTTTCTAACATTCATTGCTTCTTCTGCTGGTGATATTTCTTCAGTTTCCTCAACTATATCTGCAACTAAGGGATCTGAACTCATGCTGATGTCTGCTTCTTCCTGGTTCAGTGGTTGTGACTGATCTATGCTGCCCTCATTCAATTCCTCATGTAAATGCTCTTGTGATTTTGTGTGTGTGATATTTGGAAGTATGTCTCCAGTTTGTGTAGAGGTGTCAGGAGGATAAAGTTGTGAAGAAGATTGTGTAGGGATACCAATAGGTGTTAATTCAGGAGGATCTTGGGGGAATATATCATCTAGATCTGAAGTCATTCCTTTGAAAGGAAATACTTGTTCTCTAAACACAATATCTCTGCTTACCAGAAATGTTCTATTCTCCAAATCATATAGTCTGTAACCCTTCTGAGTCTCTGAATAGCCTATCAGTACAGCTCTCCTTGCTCTTGGTGCAAACTTGTCCCCTCTAGGTGGAGTGCTTGCAAAACATAAACATCCAAAAATTTTATGATGGTCAATTCTTGCTATCTTTTTGTATAACATCTCATAAGGTGACTTTCCTGATAGAACAGAAGTTGGCCATTTGTTTATCAAATAAACTGCTGTCTTAACACAGTCACCCCAGAATCTATTTGGTAAGGAGCATTGAAATTTTAATGCTCTAGTTACCTCCAGTATATGCTTTTGTTTTCTCTACCACCCCATTTTGTTGGGGTGTATATGGACAGCTGCTTTGATGCACTATCCCCAATGAACTCATTAATTCATTAAACTTAGAATTAAAGAACTCAGTACCATTGTCTGACCTTAATCTTATTACATTCAGATTAAACTGGTTGTGCACCATAGTAAAGAAATCCTTTAGCACAACAAACACCTCATACTTCGACTGCAACAAACTTATCCAAGTATATCTGCTAAAATCATCAACTAGTGTTACAAAGTAATGTTTCTTATCATATGTTGGTATCCTGTGAGGACCCCAAACATCTACATGCACTAATTGGAAAATCTGTTCTGTTTTATTGCTACTAGGCTGGAGAGGAAGTCTATTCTGTTTAGCCAAAGGACACACTTCACAGCTATGTTGTGCCCTGGCATCTATCTTATTCTTTAGCAGAGGAATATGTTGTATTGCAACAGCTGAAGGGTGGCCCAACCTGAGGTGCCATAGTGCTGAATCTTCCTGCACTTGCACAATGCTTCCTGCTATAGGTGGAAATTCCTTACTGACCTCCTTTTTTAACAAATATAAGCCATTGTGTTCTTTACCAATCCCCAGAACCTTCCCACTGTAGAGACCCTGAAATACACAAAAATGTGGGAAAAATGCAGCACAACATGATAACTCCTTAGTCAGTTTAGACACTAACATTAGATTGAATTTAAAATCAAGGACATGTAGAACATCTCTCAGTATCAATTCATCTAACAACTTCACATTCCCTGTATGTTCTACATGACATTTCCCCCCTGTAGGTACTTGTGCAGCACTATTATTTTGATTTTCAACCTTTCTTACATTATCTAGTACTTCTTTATGAGGTGTAACATTATGTGAGGCACTAGTGTCAATTATCCAATCATAATCAAATACCTTGGACAAAAAGGAAGTTATACCTGTCATTAAGGTATGACATTCACCTGGATCAGGATCTGGTTTGTTTATGAGGCTCAGCAGTTGCTTGTACTGTTCTTCTGTGAAAAAATGCCCTTGCATCTGAGAAGTAGTGTCAGAACTTCCTCCTTCTCTTGTTGATACATTAGCATATCCCTTTACTCCAGTGTTTTGAGACTTCTTCTTACTTTTAAAGTCTGGTGGATAGCCAATGATCTTATAGCAATTTTCCTTCAAGTGACCTTTATACCCACAGTAATCACATATGAGGCCTGGTTTCCTTGCAGCCTTGAAGCCTTGCCCTCTTCCAGCTAGCATAGTTAAAGGTTCCTTATCTGAACCAGCTATACTAAGTGTACGTTGACTTTCTTCTTGAACTGCCAATGCATAAGCTTGATTCACAGTCAATACAGGTGTTTTCAGAAGAATTTGACTTCTCACATGACTGTAACTCTTGTTCAAACGAACGAGGAATTGTAACAAACGGAGGTTTTTGAACTGATCCAAAAAAAGATCTAGTTTCCTCACAATCACACCCTGCTCCTGGTACCATTAGATTCATTTCATCCCATAAATCTTTCATTTTAGTGTAATAAGTTGTTACAGAATCTGTTCCCTGCCTTAGGGTTCCTATTGTTGTCTACAAATGATAAAATCTAGTAAGGTTCGATTTGTTAAATCGTTCCTTAAATTCATTCCATACCTTTCTCGCATCAGATTTGTAGATGATACTAGGCTGTAATTCAGCAGAAACAGTGCACCCGATCCACGAAAGTATCACAGCATTATATCGTTCCCATTGATGCCCTAATTCACCTCTATAAGAGCTTTTCAAACATGTTCTGTCGATGAACCCTAGCTTATTTTTCACCAACAATTTTATCCTCATCGATCTGCTCCATAATGCATAATTCTCAGGTCCTGTGAGCTTGATGTCAATCAGTGTTATCCCGGGTGTGTCTGTTTGTTGCAAAAACAACGGGTGATTGTGATCAATTTGTAGATTTTCAGTTTCCGCCATGACAGACCAACTCAAGCTTCCACAATGACTGCCAATTTGGAATTTTGAAATCCTTGATCTTACTTCAAATTGCCCGCTCTGATACCATGACAAAATCTCAGTACAGATCTACACTAAATCAAGATTGCATGATTGAGAAGAAGAAGAAGAAGATGAGTTGAAGGAGAGAATCAGCTAAGAAGAGGAATAAGTCTGTTATTTCCACTGTAGAGGTCGGTGCAGTGTAACTGCCTTTAATACAAGACCTCTCACACAAGTCATTTGTGTGATGAGGGTAAAAAGACTAAAATACCCCCCAACTATTTAACTAGTATCACTACTGATTATTCAACAGAAACACCCTTCCTAGAAGGTAGTCAAGAAATAATTATCAGGTGTATTCAAGTTTTGTTTGTATGGTAATATTTCGCAATTTATTACCAAAAAAAATATCTTAGTGAATACACTATTTCTTACATACACGTATATTATTCATGACCTATTAGACCTTTTTTATTAGTTCATATAAGAAAAAATATTTACTTTTTATAATTAATATTTAATTTACAAAATTTAAAATATGTAATTGCTATTTGTACGATCATACATGACACTAGAGTTATATTACGTTATGACGATGCAGATTTTTAAATTTGCTTTATTATTGTCTAATTATGTGTGATACTACAATCTTAGTAACTAGTGAAAAGAGACATTACCCACTATTGCTTTTAATCTTTTCGTGAATTTAATTGCTTGGAGTGGCTGAAAACAAGAAGTTAAGAACTTCCAAGTGGACATTCTCCTTATCCAAATTAAATAACTGAATGCGATAGTAGCAAATCTAACTAACTTTTCCTAACAGCCATTACTTGAATACAACGTTTCCCTATATTGCATCATCAAATCATGTACTGAGCAAACATTAAAATACAACCAATGGATGCTATGCATCACCCATACTACACCAGCATTCAACCTTTTAAATTTTTTTCCTTTTCTTTTATTGTTTTTCTTTTTCTTCTCCATAATCTATCAGTATAATTGTTTTAACAGATCTTTGTCTTTCTCTTTTAGTTAAAATCTGTTTTCCTCTTAATTCCATCAACATCCCATGATACCTTTTAAAAATAAAGTATTTTCAGGTAAATATACCAAATTTCAGTTTTCATCCACTAGGAAAATTTTCTTTGTTCTTGCAAGTTTTGCTATTTTTAGTAATTTCCTCATCTTCAACTCATTATAAAAGCCTAAAATAGGTGATCTCTAGCCTATCACATCTCTTCTATTCACTATAGAAAACTAAACTAACTACAAATTAAAATGTCTTTTACAAGAACAAGCTGTATTTCTGGGCTCTTGCTCTTGTTCCTAACTCTTGCATGTGAAGCTAGGGTTCCAAGAAATAATAATGCAGGGTTCATAACAGTGAATGGTGCTCATTTTGAACTCAATGGATCACCCTTTTTATTCAATGGTTTCAACTCGTATTGGTTGATGCATGTTGCTGCTGAACCTAGTGAGAGGTACAAAGTCACTGAGGTTCTTAAAGATGCATCTGCTGCTGGTCTTTCTGTTTGTCGCACGTGGGCTTTTAGTGATGGAGGTGATAGAGCATTACAAATATCATCTGGAGTTACGATGAACGTGTCTTTCAAGTAAAGGTTTATGTTCAGTGCACTAAGGATTTTTATAGGTATCTGCATATCAAGCCTGACATAGTAACCTAGAAAACAGAATAATAACCCAGTATAAATAGTAAAATTACGCTGATGATGTGAATATCATCTGCACCTAGTTAGGTATATAAATTGAATTCCTTAACTAAATATTTTCTGGTTAAATCGTCAAAGCAACTCAAATTGAATCAATAGTTACATATATACTTATTTTTAATTGTTTCTAAATTTAGGGTTATTGTTGTATATTTTATGGATTTAGGGGTTGGATTTTGTGATCTCTGAAGCTAAGAAATATGGTGTCCGCTTAATCTTGAGCTTTGTAAATAACTGGAACGACTTTGGAGGAAAAGCTCAATATGTTCAATGGGCAAGAAATGTTGGAGCACAAATTAGTGGCGACGATGACTTCTATACTCATCCGATGCTCAAAGATTATTACAAGAACCATATTGAGGTATAGGCTAACAACGTATAAACCTTTTTCACTTAAACATCAACTATATGATATTCGTGCAACATTTTTCTTTACCTACATAATATCTTTATTATTCAGTAAACTAAAAAAGTTGGTGTATGATGGCTAATAATTTTATGTTTTTGTGAATCGTTTCAGAAAGTTATTACAAGATTCAACACTATTACTAGAGTTGCTTACCGAGATGATCCAACAATCATGGCATGGGAACTCATTAATGAACCACGCGACCAAGCTGATTATTCTGGAAAAACTGTTAATGTGAGGTCCAATTGATACCTTTTAATTCATTTCCAAATTAAATGGATATTTGAATATCAATGACTAACTTTTTGGTGTATCATTACAGGCTTGGGTTCAAGAAATGGCAAAGTTTTGTAAAGTCAATAGACAAAAAACACTTATTGGAGATAGGAATAGAGGGATTTTATGGTGATTCAGTTCCTGAAAGGAAGGGAGTTAATCCTGGTTATCAAGTCGGAACAGATTTCATAAGTATCCATCTTATCAATGAGATTGATTTTGCCACTATCCATGCATACACTGACCAATGGTATATTCACAGTTTTCTCCTCACAAGTTCACATGTTTTTATTGTAATACCTTATAAATGACTTGATTGTATAAATTTATAGGGTATCAGGACAAAACGATGAAGCACAATTAGCATGGATGCAAAGGTGGGTAACAAGCCATTGGGAAGATGCAAAAACTATACTAAAGAAACCTCTAGTGCTAGCTGAATTTGACAAGTCTAGTAGAGGTCAAGGATACAATCTTAGTTCAAGAGACACATTCATGAGTAGTGTATATAAAAATATCTATAATTTGGCGAAAGAAGGGGGAACCATGGCAGGAAGCTTAGTATGGCAACTAATGGGCACAAGGAATGGAGAATTATGATGATGGTTATTGTATTGTTTTGGGACAAAACCCTTCACCTACAGGAATAATTTCAGGCCAATCGCATGCCATGATAGCTTTGGCTAATCTAGTTCATAACCCTTTAGAGTGAAGGCATGAAGAACATTATTATGAAGGATACCACAGAAAATAAGTTCTATAATAGGACGTTCTTCAATTATATTTTTTAATTTTGTGATTTACAATAATCAATATATAATAGGATTTGAGTGATTTTAATTCCATGATTATCTAGTACTAATTGAAGCTCACATTACCAACCATGTGAAGTTGATTAAACTCAATAATGTAATTTGCATAAATGAAAAAGGAACGTTACGGTTTTGTCTTCCTATTTTTCAGTTTGAGTACAAGTTTATTATATGTGCATCTCAGTTTGATTTTTACAAATTGGTTAATTTACAAGTTAAAGTACAAAATTAAATTGAATTGTAATAAGAATCGGATATCATGTAGTTCTCACATACTAGGGAAATTAACCTAAATAGTCATTTGTCCAAAAAAAAAAGCCGACATACACACACACATATATATTGGGGATTGTAATATTTTTGGCCGAGTATACCAAAATGTGTTAAACCCCTATATATTAAGCAAACAATAGTCGGATTTGAGAAAGAGTCATTTCTCCTTGAAAGCTATATTATATTAAAGAGAAATTTTCATAAAGCACTATCTTTTAGTGGTAATTAGCTATTTATAGATATTATTTGCTACATTACGGATTGTAGATACGTTTTCTGTTGCTATAAGATGTATTAGATGTATTTAAGCTACTGTATTCATGAATACAATAGCAAAAATAGGCGTGAATCAGGGAAGTCGAGCTAATCAGTTGTTGTATTCGAGTGTATTCGACTGTATTCATGGCGTGAAACATGGGATTACAGCTGTACAGATTACTGTATTCGACTGTATTCACGACGTGAAACAGGGGATTAAACTGTTTTTAAACGGAAAGTGTATCAATTAACATAATAGACTCCTAATATAACTCAACAAACCCAATTATAACACACAAAATTTGTATTTCCGGTTATAAAAAAAATTCTCAACTGAAAAATACCCCAAAAACATAGCAATCTTCAGAGAAATTATATAATACATCTTAACACATAAATTATATTAAGTAAAAAAATATATGAATACATTCATGGCATATAGCGAGACAGTGAATACAATGAAATACATAGAATATAGCGGGATACATTAAAATACAATAAAAAAAGACAGTGAATACAATGAAATACACGGAATACAGCGAGATACATTGAATTATAATGAGAAAAAAAAAGACAATGAATACAATGAAAATACATGAAAATACAGTATGATACGTTGAAAATATATGGAAATATATTAATAGAAAATCAAGTTGCTTAGCCCCAAACTCCGTCGTCTTTGTTCAAGAACAAACCCTAATTTCCGCCTTGTAGCCAATTAGTCCTTCCATCTTCAAAGATCTTGCACGCTCAAACCTGGAGGAAGTGACTGCTTCAACTTGTCGGCCTTCTCAAAGTCGGACACACAGAATATGTAGAGGTACTTGGAGCAGCGAACCTTGAATTTGACCATATCCTTATTCTTCTTGATCTTGACAGATCGTGCATCCTTCCTTCTTGCTGTGAGAAGGAAATTGTCACGACCCCGGTTCACCCTCCATGAACCATCGTGACGGCACCTAGTCTCTACGACTAGGTAAGCCTAACAATGCGAAAACAAACAACATTTGCGAAAGAAATAATTAAAACCCGAAATAGTGAAATAAAACAGTGTTTGAAATGTCGCTCGGCATACACAATATCAACTCTCGAAACTAATAACATTTCCCAAAACCCGGAATCTCATGATCACAAGCTTTTGAATGTCTACAAGTATATAACTCCAGCATCTCTAACAAAGAAAGGAAATACAGAAGGGCTAATACTTAAGGGAAGAGT